GGGGAGGGGGTTGTGTCAGAAGGGGAAGTTTCGAGGGGGGGGGTCTCGCCAAGATTTTCCACGATGGCAGGATCTGCCTCGCTCAAAACTCCGTACCCTTACAATTCTACTCTCCAGTTCAATTTAGAAATGGAACATACCAAGGCACTAACCACAAAAATCGAGTGGGTGGAAGTGGGATGAAAAGGATTGTGAAAGACCATCCTGGCATTACAGGGTAGGACGCCAAACTCGATCGTCCTTCTATAGATTTTCCGGTTCAAGCAAGGCCGTCCCAACATGTTGTATAACGGAGACGACAAGTCCAAAGGAAGTCGCCATGCACTACATGTCACCTTGGAATCGTTGGGAGTTTGTAGTTCCATTTCCCTGAGGGACGTGGGTATCTGCAGATTTCCGGACCAGCTTTTTTTCATAACGGCTGGGATAATTGAGAAGGAATACTTAACTGAACACTCCAGAACGTAATCTGCTCTCTGGCTTCCATTTCGAACAAACCTTTTTGGCTGCTTCAGGGAGGTGCACCTGTTAACCTGCAAAATCGCACGACCTTCATTCCAGGCTTTTCGAGTGGAAAGGTATTTGGTCTAGGAAAGTGTGAACAGGGTACAACATTAGTTGGGGATTTTGGTCGAGGCCGTACGATCTCCCCATTCCCCCTCTCCCCGAGCTGTCAAGCGTTAAGGGAGAAGGGGAGGGTTATGGTTATACGGGAAAAACACCGAGGATGATACGCCCACCCTCCCTTCCCCATCCTACCTACCACTTTCTTAGACGTTTCCAAATTCCTACATGTTCTTCCGGGAACTCCCGAAAATTTTCCTCGTTTTTCCCAAAAATTTTACGGTCAAGTGAGGGGCTATATAGTGCATGTGAAACAGGAAAAACCACAAAAGTTAACCTCTCTCAGGGGTGAGAAGGCAAATGCGACCCTTAAGGAGCGAATACAACGCCCCCCCCCCCTCGTTGGGATTCCTCAACGATGACGTGCCCTGGCGAAGAAAACACTGAGAACCTTGGGATGAGGATGTTCGTAGAAGCTTAGATGGAAGGAGTTCCGGGTGAGTGAACTAGTTTCTGCGGTTGGCTGGAGAAACTGGTTAGACGGCTTTGAAAGGCTCGTGCGGAACGGAAGCTGGGCTATTTCTTTGCATTCAGCACTCCCCTGAGGAAGATATTTCGGGGATGGATATTGCGGTATTCTGCAGAAATTTTCTTCAACGGAAGGGCGTTCCTTACGGGAAGTATGAACAATCAGGAATAATAGGTCTCATCGACTGAGCCGTCGTCTTATCGGTGGAATCGAAATGAGAAAGAATACTGCCCCTACTTCTTGCGGCTCAGTCTGACCTCGTAGCAGGTAATGACGAGCTCTAAGGAACACCCAATATCCACCAGGCTGTCCTATAGGGAAGAATATCCAAAACCGACCAGGTTGGGTACTTCGGCTTACACCTCTTCTTACCCCTGAAACGGAGTAGGCATGACATTCGAAATGGCGTAGACGGTGTCACTCTTGATCTCATTTCGAGACAACCGTCATGTTGTTCAGCGCTGAACAGATACATGACGGCAACTAAGCCCAAATGAATATATCCCTCCAAGAGATCCCTCCAAAAGCCCAGCCACTGCCACGTTTAGTTGAACTACGCAGCCACGCCTGCCACACCTCAGGCATATCAATTATAGCTTACCGAAGAAGAGAGAGAGAGAGAGAGAGAGAGAGAGAGAGAGAGAGAGAGAGAGAGAGAGAGAGAGAGAGAGAGAGAGAGAGAGAGAGGAGAGAACCGTGGGTGATAGAATCCGAACCAGCGTTTATACCCGTGAGTAGAATATGCCCACTCAAAAACTCAGTCCCCTCTCGAGCCGCAGGGGCTCGAATATAGGGGGCCGAGCCGCTACAATGGAAAGCGATCGGTCTCGCGACAACATTCCCCTCCCTCCAAAGATACGAATTGCCCCGCATTACGCATGACTAACATGTGGTGTCATCCTTTCATTTACATAACGACGTCCTACTAATGCTATTATTACCAAATCAATTAAAACAAAACTGGACCCATATTCAAGTACATTAGTCATGTTCCGAAATCATCTATAGTCCTTTTGTTCGAGGCGGATGAAGACACGCGGCGGGATGGGTTTCGCACGGTGCGCGAAACAAACGGACAGCTTTGATAATTCGAATTGTTCACAATCAGTCGCTTTCCTCAATCGCTGGCGTCCGCCGTTAAGGCGGTTTTCGCCTAAAACGCCCGTTTATCCCGCGCAGCGAACAAGACTGTAAAGCACTGTACATGACATTCACGACAGTTCAATCAAATACCCGATGATGATCCGATATACAAAACGATAAATGAAGAGACTAATTTTAATATAGGGGAGCTATAGGAAAGAAAAATGAATGGAAGACAAAATGATCAGGGGGAACATACGTAAATCATATCAGGACGGGTGTCGCTCAACAACTGACTCATCCTCTTTGCTAACAAAATCGTCAGACACCGACAATGCGACAACATAACAAAAAGGATAGATTCGAGGATAGATTCCGCGATAAGTGGATGGGCGGGCACTCACAACCGTAGCGTCTCCCCCGTTGGTGCGCCCCTCTTCAGTTGCGCCCCTCTTCAGTTACGGAGAAGTGGGAGGCGAAGGCTTTGGCGCAATGCGACTATCAGTGAGATCATGTCTCATGAGTCTTCTAATAAAATCGAGCTAAAGTTAAGATTGTTCACATCGGCGCCCAGCACATTTCTCAAATGCAGCGTATTATAGCTCGACAAGGGATGGGGAATCTCTGCTTGATTTCGCTTTGATCACCGCATCGTATTTTGTCGAATTCGGCTCACCAATCAATACAACGTCAACAATCGTGCACATCTGAATCAATTGTTCCACTGGACCTGAAAAGTACGACTTCGGTCGATATCAGAAAAATCTCAAGTAAAAACAGGTACAATTATACAAACCGTCATCCGTCGACCAGAAGAGCGTTAGTCGTGAAGAAGACTCTTCAAATTTTGGTTCACGACGCATTTCCAATGACTGTAAATAAACCCTTCAGTACACTCCATATCCCGGAAATGGAGGAGGAGGGCGTGGCTGCGTACTCTATTCGAGCGCGGTGGAGGGGAAACAGTGCTTCTCGTAAGACATCGCTGTTCTGGAACAACTGTAGTCATGCCTTTTTACAGCACACACAAGACAGGATAACACTTGTCCACAATTGAAAGACCGCCGTGAAAACGCAACATACGCCATTCTTATATGAAGTACGCAGCCACGCCCTCTCCATTTTCGGGATATAGAGTACTTGCTGAAATAGCCAAGAACCCTGATGCAGCACAGGTACACAACGTTCAGTACGCGTCTCATATGACGTAACATTGTCAATGACGTGTCCGGGTGACGTCACTGACAGTGATACTGTATAATTTCCTCCTTAATTAACGCGTGATGTGACATCTCATTAACATGTTAGATACGTCATATCCTAATCCTATCCTAATTTATAAAGCAGCGGTCAGACTTCGCGATAACGAGCGTCGACGCGCTGTAACGCGCGACATCGCGAAGTCTGAACGCTGCCTAACAGACTGCGAACCCGTGCTACACCTGCCCCTACCCAAGCATGGAATACACAAAAAACGAGTCAGGCAAGGGCGTGATTACCTTGACGTAGACCCGCTTCACAACACCGTATTTGATCAGAAGGACGTCAAAGGCCATGTCAAGCACATTCATGACAACTCCCTTCGCTTCCATTGGTCCAATTTTCTGAAATGAGTATAAGAGCAAAACTCAACGAGTAAAAGTTTCCCCTAAATGTAGATCAGAAGATGCAGCCACACTGATCGTATCGACGGCGTCATTGTGCCCACCTAATATATAGCCCCTAATATGGTAGAAAGGAGGGCGGGCCAACGAGCAAAGCACGCTTGTAGGCCCGACTCCGCCCTGCAATCAACATGGAGCGTGCTTTCAGGTATCCGTTTGCACAGAAGTATTTAGCTCCTTCCGTTATCATCTCCTTACTTCTATTCCCTATATACAGGGGGAGGCAAGAAAAGAAAAAGACACTTTTCTTCCTCGACTTTCAGGGCGGTATAAGTTACACTTTATTAAATTCTGATTGGACATTTCCACCACCATGTTCAACACACATTGTACACTATCATGATACTCCGCCACAGCCTTCTGGACGAGCGCCATCGAGAGATTCTGCCACGCGAGATTCGGTGCCTGAGTTCAGCGAGATCGTTGATTTCTCCGCCACTGTAGACCACCCTGTTGAGCTCCGCCCGAACCCGGTAATCGAGGGGTTTAGGCAGGTGCACACTTGGATATTCCGTCTTCTTCAGGTACTCAACGCCTTCGATTCCAAGTAGGCGAGAGTTTTTCCAACGCCCCTCGATTCCATGTGCTTTCACCTAACCGTCAGCGTACACTTCCAGTCAGGGGTCCACGAAGAAAATATCGGTCTCCCCATTCCAGGAACTTCCGAATCCGCGCCTTGGCGACTGCGGTGAAGATGATGTCCTGGACCGTAGCGACGTTGTCGGAGCTGCTTGTCTTCCAGATCGAGAGTACTGGTCTCCAGGTAGCTATCCATGGGTGACTCCATACTAGAAGTTTCGCAGCTGTTTGGAGGTGACATGAATTCCAAAGGTCTTCTCCAGTCAGGCTGCGACTGGAGATGACTTCATATTTTGGAAGGTGATGGAGAGGCCTGCTCCTGCTTATCGAGGAACATCTTGGGTATCTTCCGCCCTGGTACTCGTATCCACGTCTTCTGTCTGGGCTGCGTAAAACTTTACTGATATGTGACTCGGCCAAATGGTCTTTTATAGCCCCCCCCCCCGTACATCCAATTGGGAAAGGGAGCAAATACTTCACAAAAGCAAAAAGTTCCATAAAAAATGAAGTCTTGCCCGTTGAACAGCTACTGAAAGCTACTGAAAAACACGATCCCACTCTGTGCCGTAAAAGAATCGTCGACGCTCGGCGTACCCTTGATATAATTAGCCTTATATAACAACTGAGAATTTTCATACTGAACGGTATTCACACTAAAGACGAAGGCCAACAATAACTGAGGATGCCGGCAACCTTTTAGGGACATCTGTAAGATTTCTTGTGCTTAAAGACACATAGTACGCTCACACACATTG